ATATATATATATATATATATAAAAAATAAATATAAAGCAAAAATGATACAGATTTATTTCAATATTTAGAAAAGACGCTGATCGTACTTGCATACATACATACGAGTCCTCTAATCACAGCAACTCAAGCTTATCCAACAAAGTTCAATCAGGTCATCCGGACGGTTTCTTTTTTTGTTGTTGTTGTTGTTGAGGTGTTTCGTCCTTCATCCAACGGACTTCATCAGTCTGAGGAGCCACAACAAACTCAATAGTGGACCAACCAATTACACGGTGATAAGATGGTTTCTGGGGCCCGCCCACTCCATCGACTGCTCCGAAGCAGCCATAACCAAAGTGGTTCAAAACAGCAAAGTTCATGCTCGGTAATCTGGCTGCTTATGGGACCAAATTTGTTGTGGCTCCTCGGACTGATGAAGTTCTTTGGATGAAGGACAAAATGTCTAAAAAAAAAAACAAAATAAAAAAAACGTCCAGATGACCTGAATGAACATTGTAGGATTTTTTTTACCTGGATTATTGAACATGAACTTTGATGAACTTCAGCTTATAACCTTTTTTTCTGATTGCTTTATGCTCAGATGACGTTAAAATGAAAATTCAGTGGCATTTATTAATTCTTAGGGCAGAATGTTTTGAAGAAGTTGAGGTCAGGAACATGTATTTGAAATGCTGTGATTCATTAAACAGCAACAATCAATCGACTTTTCTCTGACTTGACAAAAAGCATCAGTGAAACTTGCAACTCTTAGGTCATTTGGGGTGTTTGAACATTGAAACGATGAATAATTATTCTAGTTATTGTTTGTTTTAAGAGCTTTGTGTTTCATAACATCATCAGGATGTGCAGCAAAACGCTGGCATAGTCCTACAGAACCTCACTGACCTACACAAGGTGAGGTCAGTGAACAAGGCCAGGCTGATTCTGGCAGATCCTGATCACCCACTCCATGGTGAATTCAGGTTGCTTCCATCTGGACGCAGGTATCTGCTGCCCAGTCGTAGGACGAACAGACTGAATAAATCATTCATCCCTGGAGTGATCAGGCTTCTCAGCAAATAGTGATGATTTCTGTACTGTCATTTTAATGTCTTCATGTCTTGTCTAGTATGAATATTGTATGTGCCTACTGACTGTGAAACAAATTGCCCCTCGGGGATAATAAAAATTCTTGAACTTGAAAGTGTCATCAAATCTCACCTGGTGGTTAAACAGCTTGGCTGTTCTTCGGGATCTCTCCACTGGGAGGGAATGTTCTACAAGAAAAATGTAACAGGAGTAAAAACCATTAACTGTTTGTTAGAGCACTATTACTTGTTCATCAAGATCTTTTAAAAACACTGTCCTGGTCACCTGTGTATAAAAGTCTGCAGACGGTGAAGATCTGGACCTCTCATGGACGCAGACGGCCTTCTCCTCTTCGCTTGCATCGAGGATGTTCTCTGCTGAGTGATATCTCCCTTGTGTTTTGGCGTCTGATGACTTTTTCTGTTTGCTCCATGTGGCCTGGTACTCAGCAAATGTACCCAGTCTCTGCTGTTCTAGTAAGACCTGTTGACGTCCAGGACTTAGTTGGTTGGGGTTTGTGGTTTGGTGAGTTTCCTCAAGATCTCTGGAGGGAGATACCTCTTTTGGTTTGTTTGATTCATCGAGTTTTGTGCTCAGGTTTGGACTAGGCCCTGACCTCAACACCGGCCTGGCAATTGCTGGTTTGGTTTCAGAGAACTTCCTCTCTGGATCCAAGATAGTTTGGGATTCTCCTTCCACTCCTACTTTGTCTATTTTATCAGGCTCTGAGAAGGAGTGTGTCCTCTTTGCTGGGTGGAACCGCCGGTGTCCTCTAATGCGTCCATTGGAAACTTTGAAAATGGAGCCCTCTGGTCCCAGGGGCTCAAGGTCTCGTCTTTGGAAAGAGGTAGCCTGGAGGACCCTTGCTTGTGCCTCCTTTAAATGATCCTTGTAGGTATTTGAGGAAGCAGAAGCCCCAGTGGATCTCCACTCGTCTGGATCGTCGTCCTCTGCCTCATGAGTCAGGGTTGCAGCGCTGCGGCTCTTCTGCAGCTGGGCTCTCTTCTGCTGGATCTCCTTACGAAGGGTGGTAGCGTAACGGTCACTGCGGCGATTTAATTTTCCACTGTTGTTAATCGCGGTATCGCTGGCTTCCTGGGTGGACGTCACAGATGATGATGAAGCTGCCTGTTGTCTCTCAGTTAGACTCCTGCTCTCTTGGGCCAAGGAGTGTAGAAGAGGAGTTTTCAGTGGAGATATTCGGTGATCTTCTTGAGGCACCCAGGGGTCTTGGGGTCTTGAAAGACTAAGCTTATGCTCGTTATTCTGATGTGATGGATATAATCTTTTAACGTCAGAGTAGCTCTTCAGTGAATCCTCTGGGCTGCAGCTTTGAACAGGAACTTCACAGGTATGGTTTTTGTAATGGAGATCATTCCCTTGGGGACTGGTATGGTGCTCATTTTTACTGTAAGGCATCTTGGACTGAGGTCCAGAGTACTTAGCCTTAATGCTGGTCTTTAGTGAACTTGAGAAGCCCGTTTCACTGCTGTTCATCCATTGTGTTTTCTCTTTCTCTCCCCTCCAACCATCTGACTTCATTTGCCTGGTCTTATTTTCAGTGGTTTGGAACAGATGTTTACCTGCCAAACTGTAGTATCTGCTGTGCCCACCACTCTCCAGACTTGGGTTTATTACACAGCCTGCCATAAATGCTGTGGAGTGTCGAACTTGTTTGCGACTGAAAGCATTGGTGGGCAGGTCTTGGAGGCTGCGATAGTAGTTTCCAACACTTTGGGTCTTTGTAGGAGGAGCAGCCCTGGTCTGCAGGTAGAAAGGACTTTCGTCACTGTATTGCCTTTGGTGAGCAGGTGGTTGGGTGTAATGAGACTGAGTGATGTCACTGCTGGACAAGGAGAAGAGTTTGTTGGGGTGCAGCTGGTTGTGGTTCTGAAATCTGAGGCAGTTCTGTTTAGTTTCTGTCAGCTTTTCAAAAGATCTGCCTTGACTCTTCGCTGGACCCGAAGGCCCTTCAGAGTAAGGAAACACCTTTGTGGCGGCAAAGCTGTCACTGCGAAGGGGAGGGGGTGGAGGAGGAGGCGACTTGGACCTTTTCTTTTCCGGTACCTGCCACAGCAGGCCAACAACGGGTCTCCCTGCTATGGAAACCCGAGATGCAGGCTGCTCCTCGACCTGCGACCCCTCCCAGCCTCCGTTTCCAAATGTTGGCTGCAGGTATCGGTGCCGCTCACTCTGCTGAGGTCCTTCACTGTGAAGACCCTTAAAGAAAATGTTCTCAGCACTGGTACCCTTCCTAATAGACATGCTGGAGCTTTGACCAGGAGGGCTGGAGCTGCCGGAGAAACAGCTGAACCCTGTGTCTCTTTTGTCTCCTGATCCACTGAGCTGGTCAGCACTGCCCATGTATTTAGGTGGGGAAAGCTGACCTGGAGGGATAGGATGGGTGAGACGTTCAAACCTCTCCATACCGTTCACCAAGCTCTGATTGGTCTGCTGGGTCCTCTGGTCCCCTTGCATGGATGTCTCTTGAGCCCTATTAACAAAAAATATTATTTTGATAACCAAATCTTTGTTTACGCAGAAAAATTAAAGCTTAACCTAAAAGGCTCACCTTGCTTCATGTTTTGGCTGCCACACTGGCGCTGGGGTGGCCTCACATCCAGCAGGCTCGGACTCCTCTTCTGTCAGCTTAGAGACGTGCCAGGAATAAGGCCGCAAGCCTGGATCATTTTTCCTGCAAAGGATTTAACATGTTTGACATTAAAGCTTCTTCAGAATTTTCACAAGCTGACAAATGGTAGGAGTCTACTGAGTTTAGTTCTTTAAAAGACCCACCTGAGCATCTTAATCACAGATTGAGAAAAGGCTAAACCAAATACTGACGTCAAACTCAACTTCCTACATCATCTTCTCAGCTTTAATATTTTAGCACTTGCTTGAACCACGTAAAACTTTACAAATATGTATTTTGAGCTACAAATAAAGGGCAGATGAAAGCATATAAGTTCATGATTTTTCACAATAAAACAAATCAAATTACAGTAAATACTCCTGACAAAACAACCCATTTAAAAATGTTAACTCCATAATAATTAAAAATGCAGGAAAATGTTTTAGAAACGCCCAACAAAGTTAAGTCACGTCCTCTGAGTGGTTCTTTGTATTGAAACGTTTCATCTTTCATCCAGAGGACTTCTTCATTCCGAGGAGCCACAACAAACTCAGTCCCATAAGTAGCACACTCACATAGTGGGCCAACAAGTTTGATGGTGGTAAGCTGGTTTCTGGAGTCCGCCCTCTCCCCTGTTGACTCCTTTGAGGCAGCCATATCCAAAGTGGTTCAAAACATCAAAGTTCATGCTGAACCCCTTTGACCATGGCTGCCTCAGAGGAGTCAACAGAGAAGAGGGCGGACTCCAGAAACCATCTTACCACCATCAAACTTGTTGGCCTACTATATGAGTGTGCTACTTATGGGACTGAGTTTGTTGTGGCTCCTTGGACAGAAGAAGTCATCTGGATGAAAGATGAACGGTTTCAACACAAAGAAACCGTCCAGAGGACCTGACTTCACTTTGTTGAGTTTTTTAACTGGATTACTGAGCATGAACTTTGAGGTTTTGAACCACTTGAAAACATGAATAGCTTCAAGAGTAAACCTAAACATCCAATAAAATATGACATTTTCAAACGGAGACCATTTTCTTTTGTACAACGAATTTAAATCATCGCATCACATGTAAACTTGAATGACCTGATGAAAAAAGTTGTTCAGTAACTAAACATGTTAGACATAGAAAACACAGTTTTTCTTCAATGAATGACATAATTAGATTTTTATATTTACAGGTACATCAGAATAAATTGGATTAGTTTAGAAATACAAAAACTGATTTTTTTAAGTTAAAAATTGGGTTATTCCCCTACAAATACTTGGGTGATTTTAAAGTGCAGAAGGAACCAGTTTATTTTCTTGACGCAAAAAGCAAATCACAAGCAATAATATATATATATATATATATATATATATATATATATATTTCTCACTGATTTAATCACTAAAATTGTAAAAACAATAAATAAATAATAAATCAGGGTTGTTTTTAATGAAATTCCTGTCTGAGATACTTGAGAAGCTTTTCCCAGTTAAATGAATTATTGCCCCACATTTACTATAATTTATCATAAAACTATGTCCAACCAAATACAACAAAACCTTAAAAATCTTACGCCTTTAATCCTTTTTTGGATTTCTAAATTTTCTAAATATCAAACTATCTGCAGCAGGACAAATTTATAAACTTCATCTGCAGTCTGTAAAGTAACAGAACCTAAGGAATATGTTTGCAGAAGAGCGTCTGACCTAAAGATGCACTTACCGTATTTTTCGGACTATAAGGCGCACTTCAAGTCCTTTAATTTTCTATTATTAATTATTAATATTATTATTATATATTTAACTCTGGTTGTGATTACTGACCTCGAACTGATTTTATGTGGTACAACTGAACAGTGTTGAGAGTTATTGTGAATGAGTTGTATAAAGTTCGACTTATCTGACCGTTTTGTTTCACTTAATGCACCTTATGTATGAAAACAGACCCGTTCATTGATATTGCGCCTTATAATCTGAAAAAATGTGGCAAATATCACTCATATCCAAACAATACCACTGCAAAAGCAAATTTAAATAATTTAGGATAGCACAGGTCTCAATCCAGAAGTGAACGTACCCCCTGAAGCGGTTTTTCCTGGACAGCATGTTAAAAAAAGCAAATTACAAAGTCATCACATTGCATGCATTTGTTTTGCACATTTTAAATGCAAATATTGCAATAAAAAAGAAAAACATAAAGAAGCTACTGTTCAGCTAAAAAAAAAAAGAAAAGAAAAGCAAGATAGAGAGTTAAGAAATACATCACAATATGCAAATTACAGAACAGAAATATGTGATTAAGACAACTACCACAATACACCAACATACTATGTGGCAACAAACAGCACAGCTCGACCAACAAGCACTCGGCGCTAACAGCTACTAGCCCATGGCTGACTAAATTATACCTCATGGAGCTTCGCAAAATCTTGGTGAGGAAGCTCCTTGCTACGTGAACCTCGTTTTCTGATGGCATTGTTTGTGGCGAAACGACGTCAACCATTTTAGCCCTGATGGGCAGAAAGTGAAGAAGGAAGAGAAGAACAAAAGGAGAAAGAAATGTTGGCATCCACTCATAGAAGCAGACAGTCAGATTTTGTAACCTACAAATCTGAAAAACAGAAAGTGAATTTGGTCTCCAGCTCTTACACAACTTTATGGTCAAGTCTTTAATTTTCTATTCTTTAAAACTTTACCTATTCACATATACAGTAGTCTCTCGCTATGTCATGGTTCGTTTTTCGCGGACGCGCTCTATCGCGGTTTTTCAAGGATAAGATTGGACATGACTGATTGTTGGATGAGCCGCACGATCGGCATGGGATTTTTATTTAAAATAAATTTTAAATTATTCAGAACCTGTGTGCAGCCAACAGCTGCAAGAGAAGCTCCCTCCTGCAGCGTGTCACATCTCTGCTCTGCAGCGGAGAAGTGGGCGTGGCCAAGAGCGCTGACAGTTGGCAGAGAGCTGAGATCATGACATGCTGTGCTCTTTTAGAGCATTTAGAGTTTGGAAGCATTATTTAGAATATTGCAAGAGTGTGGGAAGGGTTTAAAACACCTTTATATATATATATATATATATATATATATATATATATACACATATACATATATATATATATATACACACTGAAATAAACTACTACTACTTGTACTACTATTTTTACTTCGTGGTTTTTCACTTAGCGCAGATCTTCAGGTTATCGATCACATTGCCACTTCTTCAAATTATTACAGAAAACGTTTTACATGAAACTGAACAGAATCATAACAGTAGTAGTCATACAAGTAACAGGGCCAAATTAGTAAACTGATCGATGCCGGAACACAAATTTTTAGATAAAGTAGATCTAATTCCCTGCATTTTGGTGCATTTTAACGGGTGGTTAAACATCTACGTGCTTGTAAAAAGAAAGAAAAAAAAAATAAATAAATTTTTGTGGACCCCCAAGCACCGGCTCGCGGATCCCCTGGGGTCTGGGGTCCCCAGTTTGAGAACTACTGCCTTAGATTACAGGAAAAGAACCGCAGTATCAATGATTTATTTCAAACGAAAGTGCTTTATTCAGACATATGTAAAGGTTAAAATCTCACAGTGTTCTGGAGCAAATTATGGAGTACAGTTTCTATAAACTTTATATTTTATATTATGTTTCCTTATTATTCTGAAGGCCTTTCAAAATAAAAGCAGGATGCGGATGTGTCACAGCCTAGAAGTAAGAAAAACTACAACCATCATAATCTCCTTATTTGTCAACAAACATTTAATTTAAAACAATCAAAAGTGTCTTTTTAAATGATTAAATCTTTTGATGCAAGTTCAGGTGGGACACAGAAGGGAATTAACTCGACCCGATGAATGTTTACCTGCGCTGGTTTCAGCTTAAACCCTGCCAAGCAACAAAATGCATTCTTTCAGAGGAATGCAGGGAGGTTGACTCTCTGCTGGACCTTCACCTAAAGACAGACGTCTAACCTGACCTCTCCCAGGAGTCTGTGTCACTGCAGAGGAATTAAGACAGAGTGACGCCTTCTATCCAACTAACAATGTTTCAGGAGCCTGTGTCTTTGTCTGTGCAGAGTCCCTCAAGAGAAAAGTAAACATGCTCATATTTGTTGCAAAGAAAAAACACAAATCTTTAAATAGTTTGTAATAGGGATGCACAATAGAAGAAGACAAAGGAGATGATTGTGGACTTCAGAAGGAACAAAAACACCTACACCCCCCTGAACATAAGAGGATCTGCGGTGGAAGTGGTCTCCAGCTACAAGTACTTGGGTGTACACATGAATGACAACCTCAGCTGGAGCAACAACGCCACCAGCCTGATCAAGAAAGCTCATCAGAGACTCTACTTCCTCAGGCGACTGAGACGAGCTGGTCTGGGAAGCTCAGTCCTCACCTCCTTCTACAGGTGCGCAGTGGAGAGCATCCTGTGCTCCAGCATCAACGTGTGGCATGGAGGCTGCACAGCTGCAGAAAGAAAAGTTTTGCAGAGAGTGGTGAAGGCTGCACAGAAGAATGTTGGAGTCAGTCTCCCCACCATCACAGACATCTACACCTCCAGATGCAGGAAGAGAGCCACCTGCATCGTGAAGGACCCCGCTCACCCAGCACACACACTTTTTGTCCCACTCCCCTCAGGAAGGAGGTTGAGGTGCATTAAGTGTAGAACCACTAGACTGAGGAACAGCTTCTACCCTGAGGCTGTTAGACTCATGAATCTCTAACCAGAATAATCACTGTGAAAAAAAAATCACATCATGTTGCTGCTGATCTGTTTCATGTTGCTGCTGATCTGTTTCATGTTGCTGCTGATCTGTTTCAATGTTGATGTGTTCATTCGTGCTCATCTGCTCACACGGACTCATGTTCATGTTTGTGCTGATGTTCGACGTAATGTTTTTATGTTATGAGTGCTTAGTGTATATTTAGTTGATGTTTTTCTTAGTTCATATCTTAGATGTTATGACTGTTTTTCTTTTACATTTTATTGTTGGATGTAACTGGGACCCTGTGTACATAATTTCGCTCCACCACATGTACCACCATGGGGTGCGAATGACAATAAAGA